GGGGTCAATACATCGCTGCCAGCCGAGAAATCGAGGGTGAGTTTCTGTGGGAAATGTGCCCAGGATCGCGTATGAAGAACTTCCAGACACAGGCGGACATGCGCTGTCCAGCTGAGACTCCGGTCTTTAAAAATACGTGTTTATATTGCTGCTCTTCGCCAGGCAGCGTGCAGTATAAGGGCTATTTCTAAAACAGCTCTGAAAATACGGTAAAGCTAACGTTTAAGATCTGCCCCCAAAGGCAACTACGCAATCAGTCCATTTTCAAACACAGATTGACAGATTATTTATCACTTTTCCCAGCCCAGTATCCTTCAGGTGACTGGCAGGAATTCTACAAATAGGGAAGTCATAATTCCTATTAACATGCCTGTGTAAGAAAATATGATGTGGCTCCAAAAATACTGTGCACCTTGCTTGATCTGTATTGCAGTGCTGTGAATGGCTGTGACAGGCATTCACTTTTTGCTCTCTTCTCAATATCCTCATTCTTAAATTAGGTAGGGAAGTTTTTATATACAGTACTTTATACGTTACCTATCATTCAATATCAAATTGGCAGGGTAGCTATGAAAAATAAAATTGTAAATTCAATAAATCTTCAGTGATCAATAAAAATACAATAAGATGCTCCTGGGCATTTGTATAATGCTGCAGAATATTCAGAGCGTTTAACTGCAGATTATTTTGTGGGTTTTAGAACAATCTTGAAAAGGAGTGGTGGTAAATAATCTTCCAGGCTGAGCTTGATTTGCCATTGCCTTTTTCTGGGAGTTTTTGTGATGGTCTCTCTTCCAAGTATTGAGCAAATATGCCTCCGCTGGTTCTGTTTACCTTTCTCTGGATCAGCTAGGTATTCTCACCTGCTGTGACTCTTCTACACTAATAATAATCATGCTGATACTGGTAATGTAGTGGTGCTTCTGTGTTTTACAGGAGCATCTTATATCAGTAGGCAGTTTGTGGGTTCAGTCTAGTAAGTTTTGTGCCAAAAGCATGAAGTCCTCTGTGTCACTTAACAAAGGGACCTGTTTGGCCCATGTTTATAATATAACCATAGTGATTTTTTTTTAAGTGTTAATTCTGTTAAAATATATTCATTTGAAATGTAATCTTGGAAATCTTAACAATCATGTGTGCATTTATAATAGCTCTGCTGTTCTTTTTCCGCCTATCTTCACTTTTAGACTCAGGCAAGGAAAGCATTCAGTCCCTACAGTCTGTTCATTATGAGAGCAAATGTTTTTGCCCACATCCACCTTGCCTCGACATGCCCTCCTCAGAGACACTGAAGTTTCTATTCTTGAATTACTTTCTTAAACTTCCATCCTGTTTGCTTTCTCCAAACCTTAAATGCCCTCTCTCTTTTTTGTCTCTTGAGATTTGCTCAAGCAATTCACAAACAAATTTGATTAGGTTAAGAGGAACACTACTGACCCATTTCAACATAGACCTGAGAGTCTCAAAATGGGAAATGTATATTGCATTTACCATATGCCTGTGTACTACTTCTTCTCTGAAAAGTATAATGTCCTTTGTACAGCATGCCTCATTCTTGTTGTTAATAGATATATTGTACTGTACAAAAAATAGTACCTGTCAGTATAACCTGGTAGTACTATGTAGGTGCAGAAAATAGCTTATCTCTTGGCATCCTGTAGTTTTGAAATGAAAGAGCTGCCACAAAGATTTTCCACTCAATAAACATTTATAAAAATAGGCAGGAGTATTAGGTATGTTTGCTGCCTTGAGTTATATATAAAAAGGTGGGATAAAAATCTAATAATCATAACAAAAGCAACCTTATGAAAGCCGCTTCTTCCTGTTCCCTCATATTCTGAAACACATCCCATAGTCTTTAACTTGCAGTGATATGATGAATAATATTAAAATGGGGTTCCCTTTTTTGACTATAATTTAAACAAAATATAGAGTAAATATGTCATTTTCTACCTTGGTCATAGTCAGTCAGAGGAAAAAAATTAAATGGTCTCTATTATGGCCCATTTATGGCTAATGCTGTGTGCAGACGTAGGTCTGGATACAGCATGATTATTGTTTGAGTGTCTGCAGATATGGTACTCTCTAATTCAGTGTTTCTCAACCTTTACAACTTGAAGATGTGTGGACTTCAACTCCCAGAATTCCCAGGCTGGCTAGGAAATTCTGGGAGTTGAAGTCCACACATCTTCAAGTTGCCAAGGTGGAGAAACACTGCTCTAATCACTTTCAGACAACTTGACAGTATTAATGGGATAAGGAGATTTGGATTCTACCAAATGAAAGAATAACTGAAATACTGTGCCCAAATTTTACTTTAAAAAGCTATTCTAATTCCTGAAGCAGTTAAACCTCAAACATTACATTTTGCTGAAGTACTATCTTCTTGAATATATACTAGAGACAATAGCTTGGCAACGTATATTCTGCTGATAGTCATAAAACTAATACCGGCTTCTATGATTATGTCCTGGTGGTTCTTCTAAAGCCCCAAATTTCTCAGTTCCTTTTTGCAGAATGATCTGCATTGATGATGAATAATAATTACAGTCCCTCTTTCATGCTATGATTTTTGTTCAAAGATAGAAGCATTTCTGTCATTTATTAACTTCACATGTTTGTTATATTTCTAAAATCCTGATTACCATGAACATCACATTTTTGTGATATTTTTAAAACAGTGAACACTAATCTTAAGACCATTTTATATTTAATCAGATGGATTTGGGCATGTAGTAATGTCTGCCAGCTTAGAAACTAGGAGTTTCTAGCTCTTTTGGGCTTGTATTTCAATATTTTACACTTGTTTTAAGCTGTAACATTTTCCAAAACCTTTCATGTTCTTCTCAGACTGTTTGAATAGTGGTAAACATGGCTATATATTGTTTGTTTACAGAGATGCAGAAGATGCAGTTTATGGAAGGAATGGTTATGATTATGGCCAGTGTCGTCTGCGTGTTGAGTTTCCCAAACCTTCCAGAGGTCGGGGTGGAGGCTTTGGTGGGGGGCCTCGTGGGAGGAATGGCCCTCCTTCACGACGATCTGAATTTCGAGTCCTTGTTTCAGGTATGTTCCCTTCTGTACTTCATATTGACTGGGATCCCTCCTGATATAATGTCTCCAGTTGTACTGGGGAGAAGATTATCTTATTACTACCATAATATATGGTTTCTTTTTTAATATGGAACCTATGAAGGAGTTTTTTAGAACTGCAAGAGGACACTATACTTTTCTGATTCGATTCATGGAGAAAGTCTTTGCTTATGGATTCATCATGGTGAATGAATGGTGAGCAAAAATGTCTCCAGCTGGAGGCAAGTGGATTCTTGGATGTGAAAAGGGCCACTATATGGGTGGGCAAAGGGAAGGAAGAAGAACTGGGGGATCAGTTTTATAGTGTTCATGCCAGAAGGAACAGGTCTTAGATGGTGCTATGAGACCAAAATATGACTGTTAAAACTTGAGAATCCAGCTGCACAATATTTGTGTTCTTTATGAAAGAAAATTAACCTGAATTAGATCCCCTCTGCTCAGAGCCTTGTGGACTCCTCAGAACAACCTTGATATACCTGGAATAGGTGTCTCTGTCTAGTGAGTTGGGAGACAAGTGAAAAAGTCCTAATCTCACTGGAAAAAAATGGAAGTATTTTGGAGGTTTTGCCATGGTGATCAAATCTCTGAAGAAAATTCAGCACGCTGTGGCCAAACATATGGAATGGCCCACTTAAAACATAAAAACATTCCTATACACTAAAATAAAATGCCAAGAACTGTGCTTCTCTGCATGCTACTGTGGCATCGTGGCTAGAAATAGGAGTACTCATGGTGAGGAAATCCCTGAATGGCAACCTCTTCAGCTTTGCAGCAGGACCTGAAAACGAAAATGCTCAACCCCAGGTGTACATCTCCCACACAGAAGCCTGGGAGGGCAGGGAGGATATCTGGACCTGGCTTTTGGCTTGAATGGGAGAACTTGCCTTACTAGAGAGTATTGTGAAGCATTCTTGAAAACTGCCAGGAAGCAGCAGCATACTAGTTTCTTCAGAATATGCTGTGGAACAGGGAACTCACTTCCCTTTGCCTTTCTTTATAGCAAACTTGCGGATAGTTAACACAGGTATCCTTGCTTCGCTGCCCAAGGATAAGCTATTGGAATCTAAGGACCCAAACCCACTCTCTTAGAATGGGACCCTCATTCTTGGATGGGAATCTGACCTTGAATACATGGAGGACAATCTGTCCAGTCAGAGTTAGGGGTGATGTTAAATTTACATTGGACAAATAGGAGGATTCTTCTGACTACCCAGTACTTTGAATCCTAGACCTACCTTGCTGACACGGAGGGCTCACCCTTTGGAATGGAACTTAATTGCTATTCTTTGGACCCTAATTGTAGCACTCGCTCTCTGGAATGAACAGGAAGTCTGTGGAAATGGTGGAGCACAGCCATGCCTGGCATAGCCTCAGCAGCTAGTGTCATCTCTTTACACAGTCTCTTGTGTTTTGTGTTCTCACTGCTCAGGGCTTCCTCCATCAGGCAGCTGGCAGGACCTGAAGGATCATATGCGTGAAGCTGGTGATGTATGTTATGCAGATGTACAGAAAGATGGAATGGGGGTGGTTGAGTTTCTTCGCAAAGAAGATATGGAATATGCACTGCGTAAACTGGATGACACCAAATTCCGATCTCATGAGGTGGGTTCCTGCCTGTGGGTGAAGAGCATGTGCGTGTGCCAGTCATGGAGGAACATACATTAACCTGTCCTGTTGTGGTGCTCTCAAGAGGCTTTTGGGCGCAGTCTAGCAATAGTCTTGGAAATGGTGGCTTAAAGTAAACCTTGTAGAATTAAGGGTGGTCAAGGCTGCGTGAAACCTACCCCATGATGGTGTGGTTGAAAGCCCTGACCGCAGAAACTAGGTTTTGTGGTTTAATTCCTGGAAAATGAGCATTTGGATTACTTGCTTTTGACATCTTCTGAGCAAGTCAAGTTGACTTGCTTTGCCATTCTCCCACTGACAGCCAGGGGCTGAACAAAGATGCCTACCAGCTGGTTGTTTCAGGAAGTTTAGCTTGCCTTGTTTTGGCAAGCTAAAATGATATTTCCCAGAGGAGCAGATGAGTAGCTCTGTTGCTTACTTAATATTAATCTTCCCCACCTGTGCTTGGATCTTCCTACTTAAGATGGTCTGATATCTCTGCTATAAACCAGTTTTTTATTCTTGGGGCATTGCTACTTCACTTGCAACCACCTTCTTCTAGTGGCTGGCTTGATCTACGACCACCCAGTCTATCACAGATGGAGGCTGCTTGTTATGGAATTTTCTTCAAGAATCTGAACTGCAGAAACAGAATTAAATTAAGATGGACTGGTGAGAGTTCACCAAGACCTTTCCTAACTGTGCTGAAGGACTACACTAGCCTGCATCTCTCCCTCTGATAGCTTAACGTTGGAAACTGACATCATCACCCTTCTTAGTTACGTGGGGACAAAACATGTCTGTGTTTGCCTGCACAAACTAGCTGTTCTGTAACATGCCCTTTTTCTGCAGACCTCAAGGGCCAGATCTGAATTGGCCTAAGGCAGCAATAGGATTTGTCCTGCCTGTGTATGAAAACTCTTCGGTCCCGAGCCATTGTGCATTGGTTTCTCGTCTCCATTTTTGGCATTCATTTATTCATAACATTGACCAGAGGATGTTATGCCAATGTTTGGGTTTTCTCTGTTCTAAATTCCAGGGTGAAACAGCCTATATCAGAGTTTGTCCTGAAAGAAGCATCAGCTACGGCTACTCGCGCTCCCGTTCTGGTTCAAGGAGTCGCGATTCTCCATACCAAAGCAGGGGATCACCACGCTACTCTTCGCCCTTTAGGCCATTCTGATCGCACCCAATAGGGACTTGTAACAATGTGAACTGAGCTTGTTATTTCTGCTCAGAGTTTACATTCCAAAATGGATGGATATAGTCTTTCGTAGAAAACTTTTTGGTTTTTTTTTTCTTTCTATTCAATAAAATCTTTTTTTTTTATGACAACTGTTTTTACTAGGGAAATGTTGGTAATGAAGTATTATAAACCATTGCCACTTAAAATACGTTTTATTTGGAAAATGTAAGTTGTTTTTGTTTTCCTTCTCAAGGAAGGAAAATGAGCTTGAAACTCATACACTTTAATAGTTTGTCTGCTGGATGGGCTTTAAAGCAGTGGAGCAAGGCCTATTGGTGGTGTTTTGAAATATATTCCAATGTTTCTGTAACTCTTAAGTGGGTGGCTGTCCTTTTGTGCAGTAAGGGTGGAAAGTGGAGATAAACAGCTGACCCTGGATTTTAAGTTGCTTTCTCTTACTGGGTTAAAGAAGCATTTTAAAGTTTTTGCTCACTGCAGGCATCATAGTGGAAACATCAAAGGGATGTTTAAACTGTTCTGCTATAACGCCAGTATAATTACTTTTACTGGCTGTTTTGATAGGTAATTTCACAAATAGTGTCCAGGAAAGATTTTACCAAGCCTGGGAGCAGGGAAGGGTTAAGAGAGCAGGATTAATACAAATTAATGGCTTAATGGGAGAGACTGAAAATTTGGGAAACTTATTGGGGAGGGAGTGTTCTGTGCTTCTCACTAACTGCAAAATATGTCCAATTTTAGCATTTCTTGAAGTTCTATGGAAGTCCCATCATTAATTTGATCCATAAAATAAAATGGATTTCAGTGGTTTTGTGCTTAGTTAACTTGTAAAATGAGGTGTTTCATTTGAATTCTGTGTCCGTAACTGTCAATTTATTAAGAGCTTATAAGATTCATTTTTAGCCATCTTGCAAGTTTAGAGAAAGTGCTGCCAACTTACAGCTTTAAGAATATTTTGAAACTTTGCTCAAGTGAATGGCTGCAAAGACCTAGTCCCAGGTCTTCTACTGAATTAATACCTTACTGCATCATATTATAGCTGCAGTCACATGAACACTTATAGGAAAATAAAACTAACACAATTTTGGTATAAAAATGGGTTAGGCTACTTGTGTTGTATTTGAAATACGATTAATATACAATGTAAGTTAAAAAAAATAATTATATAGCAACATTTGGCTAGAAAAACACACAGCAACATGTCCACTGCAACATCAAATGTGGGATATTTGTCAAAGTCTCCATTTTTTGCTTCCATTTATTAATCTGCTATTCAATATTTCTTAGTTGATTTGTTAAGGACTAACAGCACATCTTGTTTCTGGAAAGCTCCCGCATACGTTCTTATATTCATTATATAGCATGATAGTGAATTGTCAGTGGAGGGGAAAGCATCTGTGCAGTCCAGAGCATACGCACCTAAAGCAGATGCCACTAAATAGTGGCTGGGGGTCAAAATGTGCTGAGTAAAAGAAGTGCTTTTTTGTGGCTTAGTAATTAGGCAGCCTGCAGAATAATGTCACGTGCATTTTAAAAATTTCCCCTGGACTCTCTTTCTCTGCAAGGCTTAAATGCCTCCACCTGCTCTCCCTAAAGTGCCGAAAAAATTAGCTGTCCCTTTTTGGGCCTTTAGGTGCCATCATAATAATCATAAAATGTGGCTACTGGCCACAAAAAGCCATGTATCATTGCAATAAATTCTGGTAGAACAACGCATGATTAAATGTGGGATCACAATTTACATATATTATTTGTATGTCTTAGAGAGGTTAACCTAAACATCCTCCCTCATCCAAAAAGGGGCTAAATTAACCTCAGCAACATATCTGCAGCCACTCAGTTCCATCTTGAAGACTGCTCTAAGGACCATGAAAATTGTTTCTCAGTTAATTAAATCTAAATGCCACAGCATATTCTAATAAACAGTACCACGCATTTTCTTCTAATTAAATTAAAAGAAATTTCAAAGCATAAAAGCAATTGTGCTACATATTATTCAGTTTTCCTGCAAAATATTTTCTCCATTTCATGACAACATAGTAATTGGAACATGAGTAACGTAGTAACTGGAATTCATAAAGCAAATAGCTCTTTTGTGATTATGTGCTGGTGCTTCTGAAGCACCAAATTTCTGAATTTCTTTCTGCAGAATGTTCTGTGCTGATAGCAATATACATGGTCCCTCTTTTACGTTGGGATTTTTGTTCAAAGACAGAAGCACATCTATCATTTATTAACTCACATTTTTGCAATATTTCTAAAGCCCTGAATACTAAGTTCATTTTAAAGATCTGCGAATAAGATTTTATCAGCTAGATCTTGGCTTGTGCTAATGTCTGCCAGCTTATAAACTAGGAGTCTCTAGCTCATTTAGACCTGTATTTCAATATTTTTATACCTAAACTTTAAGCTATAATAGTTTTGGATACTTTTCGTGTTTCTCCTGGATACTGACTGAGCAGTGCTAAACATGGCTATATATTGTTTGCTCACAGAGATGCAGTTTATGGAGGAATTGTTGCAGTTATGGCCAGTGTTGCCTGTATACTCAGTTTTTCAAACTTTTTAGAGGTTAAGGCATAGGGACTTCCCCATTTTATGTCTTTTGACCATAGTCTCTTCATAATTAAATATGTCTTTTCTTTGGGGGGATTTGGTGACTGAGGTTCACTGTATTTTAAACATAGGGTTTAAACCCCCATAGGGTTAGGTACAGCTAAACTTGTGCAAAATTTTAATACAGTCTGAATTATTTCTTGATTGGGGTTTAAAACAGGTTTTAAACATGTTCACACAACCATGTGTTAAACTTAGTGTCAATAACGCTCTTTCCTGACCCATACAACTCTTTAAATACAGTCTTTTTTCTCCCCAGCTAAGTAACACCAGTCATTTCAGTGCCTGTCCCCCCCTCCGCAGTTATATAAGTACATGACGTAAACATTCATTCTAGATCCCACTGCACATCCTGGGTTTTCGATCTAAAAGCAGGCAGTGATGGCATATCAAGTAGGATCTTCTATTAAGAGTCTTCCCTGTGAAGAAAAGTATTTCTCTCTTCTACTTTTGGCAGAGGGATGTTACCTAGTGCAAACAAAATTTGGCAAGAATAAAATACTTTGACAGTTTTGGCAATTTCTATTACAAGTAAAAGTTGTTACACTACCCAAGATATAATTAAATTAACAGTGCTATAAAGCTAAATCATGTTTATATTACTTGATGAACAAAGGAAAGAGGACTTCTGTTTCCTAAGGACTTCAGCTTTCAATTGCTCTCCTAGTAGCAAAAATGAACTTCAAGGGCAACACCTTATATATTTTAAATGGAAAATGTTTTTCTGTCAACTTTCAAGGATGTTCATGACACAGTTCTGTGTGTTCCTTCACACACAGTACTGACCAAATTATACTCCGCAGGATAGCTGAAATTAAGGGCATATATTGAATTCAATAATTGAGACAGGTTCCAAAATCCAGGGTAATATTTTTTTAGCAGAGATACAACAGACTCACCATTACTACCTCCTATATGTGGAAATTACATTATAAATTCTCAGTTATTTCTCTTCCATTCATGCTGGAAAAAAGTTTTTTTACAGGATGAATTTCCCTGCATGTATCCTGCAAAATGTTACCTGGTGGAGCTATAAAATATCCTTCAACTGTCTTTGCAGCTTTCTTCAGTAGTTCCTCTGCATGGTTCCCTTCTGAGATATTATCTTCCCTGAGGTAGAGATGCCTGAGGAGCACAAATCATTCATCATCATCATCCTAGGAAGCTTAGAAATATGGCAGCTCTCCGCAATGTTCCCTACCTGGAGGCCAGGTGATATTACAGGGGCTGCTAAGGCTAGAAGGAGCAGTGTGTGCAAGCAGTCCCACCTTTTATTTGTTCATCAGAAGGGGGAATGATCCAGCGGTACCAACAGTCTTGCTCTGCCAGCCTCCTGCCTGCAAAAGCTCTCGGCAGGGTCTAAAGGGGGGATGGCTTACCCTTCCTCAGAACTAAATGGCTTCCGAGCACACCACGGCATGGCTCTCCTGCAGTTGCAAAGTCAGAAAGTAAACTCCAGAACTGATCGGCGCTCCTGATAGTTACCTGTCTTCCAGCACGGATTCCATGGGCTCTACTCCATCAGTGTTCACTGCGTGAAGCTGTTCAGCAAATTCAACGGCTTTCTCCAAGCGCCGGACACCCTCCCAGTTGCGAAAATCAACAAGTGCCAGTCGCTCAAGATGATCCAACAGCTCCAAAGTAATTTTTGTCCGCTGAAACAATTTTTTCAAACAGCGCATTTAAATCTTGCAAAGAAATTCCCGACAAACAATACTGCGTGGCAACTGGGAATATACTGTGAGAAGTGGAAGAGAGAACTTCAGCTGTTTCTGACGACATTAAAAAATGGAAACAGCCATTGGGAAGCCCTTTAGGGTTCGCGTTTTTCTTTTTTGCCTTCAGGAATAGATTTGGTAGCTTTAATGACCGCTTTTTTTCACCCTGCCGCCGAAGCCCACGAGGAACCACCTTCCTGCCAGGCTAAACGACGAGGCGGGGCTGCTTTTTTAGCGCCGAGAGGTGCCGGCCGATCTCT